GTGTGTGTGTGTTTGTGTGTGTGTGTGTGTGTGAGAGAGAGAGAGAGAGAGAGAGAGAGAGAGAGAGAGAGAGAGAGAGACATGTGGAGGTCTGAGGACAACTTTTAGGTGTCATTCCCTCCTTCTACCTTTACATGGGTTCTGGGGATTAAGTTTAGGTTGCCAGGCTTGTGTGGCAACCACTTTTATCCAATGAGCCATCTCACCCACCCAGTCATTTTTCTGATGCTATTACATTTGGATATTACAAAACTTTAAACCCTAATTTTAAAATGTCTATGATTCTTAAGTTTGCTGATATGCATAACAGAGAAATCTATGAGCTGTAGATGGAATCTGCATAATCTTTTGTCGTTAAACACAATGCATAGATTAAAAAGGCTCTGTGTTGTGTACATCCAGCAGTTTGCCTCCATGCAGTGTGCATAAATTCATGCTAGAAGTAGATTTCTCTTAATTTCCTATGCAAACATGTACTACTATATATACATATTATCAGCATAGTTCTTTTTATATGAACACCAGCTACCTTTATCTTTCCTGATGTCACTTTAAACTACCTCGTCTTAGCCATAAATTGTAAATGTTGCCGCATTTATTTCATATCATTAAGTTTCTCCTGAAGCACTTCACAATATTCTCCGAGTCAGTTACTAATAGGAATGGAGTCTTGTTGACTGAGAAATGAGTGACATTTCACAGGGGTCTGTGAAAGCTGCTGGCTTCATTAACTCAGTTGGAATCTCTTTCAGGGGCCACATTTCCACCCAGATGAATGGCGGAGTGCATGCCTTCTGAGGGTCTTTGCTGTCCATAGACCTTCTTCTCCTGTAGTTGTACCAGAGTTGACGGATCATTTCTTTGAAAGGTCTGGTGGTCAAGGTATAGAGAATTGGGTTCAAAGCACTGTTGATAGGCAGAATAAAGATGACTACCCAAGAGGTGATGGTATCTGGAAGAGAAGGTTGGAGTAATCTGAGTGTTAAGTGACGTTGCAGGGCACAGAAATCCCCTCTCTCACACCTCCAGCCCCCTTTTGAGTCTTATGCTTTTCCTTTGATGTCACATAGTCAAGCACCAAGTCTTTATTGTTTTCAGGATGTCTTTCCAGAGTGCCAGTGGTAGGGTAGCGCTGGTTCTGTGAAGGTACAGGAGATCGACATAGGGCTTTGTACATGTTAGGCAAGTCCTTTACTGCTAAGCTACACTCCTAGCTTTATTTACTTGATTTTAAAAATAGGCACACGTTTTAGGCTTGTGTGCTTGCTTTTTACGTGGCTGTTGGAGATTCACATTCAGATCCTCCTGCTTGTATGGCAAGCACTTTACCAAGTCAACTATTTCCCCAGCCTTTCACATTTTTAGGTTTTTGACCAAATATTTATTTCAGTGAAACACCTTTGAGCAGGCTTGTGGTACAGGTCTGCAATCCCAACTACTAGGACACTGAAATAAGAGTATTCAAAGTTCAAGTCCATTCTGGGCTAAAGAGTGAGTGAGGTAACTTTGCAAGACTATGCCTCAAAATAAAAAACATAAAAATTTGCTCCTTAATAATTAGTAGATGTGAAAAACATTACCATTGAAATCTACCTGATGACTTTATCTCCATGCTCCAATGCCAAGGAGCTCAGAAAGTAACCGACTGTGACTACTAATAGTCAGATATATAGAGATTAGAAACGCTTCTGCAAACATCTTAATGTCAATTGCATTAAAAATGAATTTTTCTGTATGAAACTGTGTATTTTAATAATGAAATGGAGGTCTTTTTTAAAAGTTAAAACCTCATTTAATTTATGTCTTATGGGATTTATACTGAGTACAATATTGTATAACTGTAATAATTCAACTGTAAACCTAAAATTTGCAGCCAATTTTGAAAGAGATGCATCTAACTCAGGAAATTGTTGTTGAATATGTCAATGCTGTTTTAATGAAATGCTTCTTCCAAGTATGTGGTTATTAAATAAATAATTTTAAAAAAGTGAAAAATAAAAATGTCTGGAGATATAAGCTAGGTGGTAGAGTACTTGCTCAACATTGAGAGAGACCCCAGGTTCAAGCCCCAATACCACAAACAAATAAACAACTTCTCAAAACTAAAGGAAAGCAAAACAAAAACAAAATCAAAATAAAATCCCCCAACCATCTTTGACTAAACCCATATTTTTTGAAGATTTGTTAACTGAACTCTGGTCTTCCGGAGGAGCAGCAAACACTCTTAATTAACTGAGTTATCTCTCCAGCCCTCTAAATTCATCTTTAAAAATCACCTTTGCACATATAGAGCTACCAAATACTCAGATTTTTATCATAATTTAATCAATTGCCATTGTCCTTCCTCTTATTCTTCATAACCTGTAAGATCCTATCATCATCCTTGAGCTCAAAGTTACATTAAGCATATATAGATTAAAATATGTGAATATGTACTGTAGTCCTATGCAGTTAGCAGAGGATATTTGTGTGTTTTTGTGGTAAAATAGATATAACATAAAATTTGTCACTTTAACCATTTCTAAATGTGCATTTCCATGGCACTAAGTATATTCACATTACTGAGCATCCATCACAACCATCAGGCTCCAAAAGTTTTTGCCTTCCCAGATAAAACTATACCAGTTAAACAATGACTCCCAATCTTCCCTTACTAGCCCTTGGCAACCACCATTCTATATTGTCTATGAATTTGTCTATTCCAGGAGCCTCATGTAAAGTAAATCATAAAACATTTGTCCTTTTTGTATCTGACTTGTTTACTCAACATAATGTCTTCAAGATTCACCCATAATACAGCATATGTCAGAATTTCCTCTCAAGGGGCTGGCAAGATGGCTCAGTGGATAAAGGTACTTGCTGCCAAGCCTGACTACTTGAGCTCAATGTGTGGAACTTAGATGGCAGAAGGCAAGAACTGACTTCAGCAAGTTGTTTTCTGACTTCCACATACATGTTGTGGCATGCATGTGTGCACACACACACACAGAGCAAATAAATACAATACAAATTTTAAAAGAATTTCCTTTCTTTATAAAGCTGAATAATGATCCTAGTGTGTTTTTGCTACTTTTGTGTGTATATCTCTCTATGGACACTGTATTGCTTCGATAGTTTGACTATTGTAAGTAATGCTGCTCTGAACATGGGTCTCCAAATATCTGTTTTAGTCCTAGCTTTCAATTCCTTGGGCATTTATCCAGAAGTGGAATGGCTGGATTGTATGGCGATTCTATATTTAATACTTTGAATTTGCTGTTTTCCACAATAGCTGCACCATTTTCAATTCCTACTGGCAATGCATGAAAGATCAAATTTCTCCACCTTTATACCAACACTTGTTTATTTTGTCTGCCTGTCTCTCTCTCTCTCTCTGAAAACCACCACTGTGATGGATGTGACATACATTACGTTTTAAAAATTCTGTGTTTTCTTTTCGTATGTCATGTTGGGATGCAGTGCGCTCTAAATCATATGTGTTCTAGGGAGAAACATTTCTTTATTTTTCTTTTTGATTTTTTAAAATTTAATAACTATATGATTAGAAGAAGCATTTCATTATAGCTTTAACATATTCAGTAACAATTTCCAGAGCAAGGATATATGGGAGAAACATGTCTTACATACTCAATGAATTAATTATTTGATAATTTGTTTTCCTTTATGGCCATCTTAAACATTCAGCTAATTTCAGCACTGCATGTCATTTATTTTGTCCAATACTTATTTGTTCTGCTAATAACTGTGGCACTGGGAATTTATGAAAAGAACAGTTTCCTCTCAGTAAATATTTTATTGATGATGGAGACAAAGTACACAGAACTCTGACTAATAATCCTTTTAACTACTTAATGTTAAGAATGTTAATTGTCTTTCTTAGAACAACCCTGCACGAAGAGAAAAAGATCGTACCTGGTATTTCCACTTGAAGCAGTGAAAGAAATTTCAGTATAAAAATGGGTATCCAGCATAATGCATCAGTAAATACAATGAAGAAAAAGCGCTTGGCGAGGATCATCTCTTTTTTCACTTGATTCCGTATTTCAGTTGCTGTTATGGTGCTTTGATGAACACTGTAAAACATGCTTCCATAGGAAAAAACGATGATGATAAACGCTGCCAGATTAATACCTGTATAGAACATGAAGAATAAGAATAATATATTAACATTCTTTCAAGACTGATAACACACTCTTGGATGTTATTAAAGATACAAAGACCATAAAGTGGAATTTATTTATTTATTTATTTATTTATTTATTTATTTATTTATTTATTTATGACAGGGTCTCACTATGGAGCCCAGGCTGGCCTTCAAGTTGGCTATGTAGATTAAGCTGTCCTCAAACTTAGAATCCTTCTGTCTCAACCTCCCAAGTGCCGAGGTTGCAAACATATACCACTGTGCTTAACTTTTGATAAGGTCTTTTATTTTCTTTTCAGAATTACTAAGGCACACAGAAGTCATGAATTCTTTCAACTCAGAAATATTGAGGTAATGAATGATGAGATACATAATTTTAGTATGACATATTAAATAAATTTGATAAATACCCTAAACCTTTTCATCTTTCTAATATTGGTGATTTTTTTCATAATTTAAATACATTTTGCTATATTTTGAGGATATTTTAATTTTGCTAGTTTAGAACAGTTTCATGTATATTCTGAAGCCAAAGCTGTGTGTGCCTGTATATAGGAAGTCAAAACTGTAATAAATATAGTTATGCTCATATAATTGTGGTATATGAAATACTATAGGCATGGCTTTTACAATACAGACATGCTCTGGACAAATGATTTTTACTTAACTTTGCAACAAAAATGTTAATCTTATCTTAGCTTGTTTATAATGTAGGCAAGCTTGGTGAGCTTTGGGCTCCTCTTGTGGCCTGGGAATATAGCCTTAATCACTCATGACCCTTCCTTGCCTTTGACCCAGAATAATGTATGTATGTATGTGCATTTTTTGTATGTTAGTCAAGTAATTGTAGCAAACCGCAGTTATTTGTTGGAAGCAATGAAGATTATTCCATTTGTGTTGCAAACAATAGATGGGATTAAATTGATAACATCTCTTTGTGGTCATCTGTGTGCTATTTTAGGTTGGTAAGGGTCAGAAAGGAGATAATCCTCTGATAGGACAGTACCTCTTTTCATGCTCTTTTCTCCATTTCATGCTCGATATACTCTCAGTAAAAGAGAGGAAAACCCTTGTTCAAGAGCATGGCTCAAGAGAATTCTGAAGGAACAGTTTCTCATCAGTTTGGGTTCACATTTGGCTAAAATAGAGTGAGCCTATCTTTATTTAGCATAGCCATAATGTTGCATTGTATAGTAAAGGCTACAAAATACAAGTGTTTAATGTTCTTTATGGAATGCATCAGATTGGAATTTATATGATAAGGAGTGATTTGAGGAAAAAGAATCCATGTTGGGCATTCTGATTAAATTCACCTTCAGAGTCATTAAGAAGATCTAGTTTTATTTGAAATAAAAATTTGTAAACAATAGAAAGCTTAGTGAGTTTATAGTGTGAGTTATTTCTGCAAGCATATAGAACACAGCAAGGCTTATCATACAGTCTCTTACCAAGAAAAATTACCACTGAATAAATCTGGGCTCCAGCACTTTCTGTATCTTCTGAATGAAGAGGAAAACACACCCCATTGGTGCCATAGTAGTTTTTGAAAAATTCCTTATTGATTAGTGGAGTGAAAGCCACTATAAACCCAATAATCCAAATGAGAATTAGAACTGTAATTGTTCTGCATTTTCGTGGTCTTAAACACCGAAAAGGATATACAATGCAGATGTATTTTTCCAGTGTCAGAAATGTTAAAAGTAAAACAGATACTTCTGTGGACAGAATGGCCAGTGATCCCATTAGCTGACAATGAACACTCTCCATCCATGGCTGAGCATGCTTATTGTACTCGCCCCGAAACTTGAGATCAAAGGCTCCAATCACAAATAAATATATTCCCATTAGGCAGTCGGCACCTACAAGGGTCAAAAGTGTACAGAGTCAGAGAAATACATAGTTTGTATATCTTTACAGGATAACATTTTGAATATTTGGAAAATAACCCAATTCTATATTAAGAGGAGGCAATATTTTTAAATTATTTATTTAATAACCACATACTTAGAAGAAGCATTTCATTACAACAGCATTGACATATTCGATCACAATTTCCAGAGCTAAGATGCATCTCTTTCAAAAGTGGCTGTAAATTTTTAGATTTACAACTGAATTAATAAGTTATACAATATTGTACTCAGTATAAACCCTGTAAGACATAAAATTAAATGAGGTTTTAAACTTTAAAAAAGATCTCCATTTCATTATTAAAATACACAGTTTCATACGGAAAAATTCATTTTTAATGTAATTGACACTGAGATGTTTGCACATGTGTTTCTAATCTCTCTATATCTGATTATTACTAGTCATGGTTACTTTCTGAGCTCCTTGGCATCTGAGCATGGATATAAAGTCATCAGGTAGAATTCAATGGTAATGTTTTTCACATCTACTAATTATTAAGGAGCAAATTTTTATGCTTTGAAGAATTATTATTTTTTAAATTTTTAAAAGAATTTAATAATCCAGTAACACACTCCAGAGCAAGGATACATCTCTTTCAAAGGTGTCTGTAAATTTTCAGGTTCACAGTTGAGTTAATACAGTTATACAATTTTGAACTCAGTATAAACCCTGTAAGACACAAAATTGAATGAGTTTTTACCCTTTAGAGAAGATCTCCATTTCATTTTAAAATATGCTAGTTCCTACATTTTTAATGCTACTAAAACTTAGATGTCGGCACATGTGCCTTTAATCTCTATGCATCTGATGATTACTAGTCACAGTCAGTTATACTTGGATCCTTAGTACCTGAGTATGGATATAAAGTTATCAGGTAGATTTGACTGGTAATGTTTATCACCTCTACTATTTAACATGAAGTAGATTTTTATGCTTCCTCCTCAGATATGTCTTTTTTTAAATTTGTTGATTTTTCTGTGTATATCATACAGAACATCCCATACAATCTTATTCATCTATATACCCACTTCCCAAATGGCACCCTCCCATAGCCTCCCCCCTTCCACATACTGGAGCCCACATACTCTGTCATTCCTGTTACTGTCCTCTGTGTTGTCAACACCCCCAGCCATTCTCTAGTGCTTGTCCATCTGCTGAATCTAGTCAGCCTATCTAGAGAGCCTTATTTTAGGAAGATCAGCTGTTCCTCATCTAGCAACAATCAGTTGTTAACATTCCTTTAGTTAAGATTGTGGTCTGCTGTTCATTTTCCCAGTTCTATGCTGGGTCACTGTCTGGGAGTCTCTTGTACCACCTTGGCCAATAACTCAAAGGAAGGTATTACCTGTCTGCCATTGTTTCTTGTAATGAAGGCTTTAACTCTACATATGGACTCTTAAAAATTATATTGACCCCATTAATTTTTGGTTATACTTTCCTTTTGGGTGTTTAAGACCCCACATTTGGCCCAGATAAAACAATTTGTTTTTACTCTTAAGGTCATTTGAAGATCTGTTCCTCAGGGGTAACGTGGGCTTGGGAGGAGCCCCTGGCTCCTTTCTTTTACCAGTTCTGTCTATGTGAAGATAAGTCAAAGGTCCTGCTCGACCATGGCTGGGGTCGCTTGGAGGCATGAAGGAAATGTTTCCTCTGTGTTGACCTTCCTCTTTGTAGACTGGACACTCATTCAGGTCCATCTGGTGGGGTCTCCATGGCCTCCTTGCTCAAGAGGACAGGTGACCACCACAGGACATTTTGAGAGATGCTCATAGTCCCCTGGAACTTAGTTGACCTAGGAGGGCAAGGAGCAAAAACTGTCCTTGATGCCCCCCTGACCAAATTAGTATAGGCCTCAAAGTATGGCTGTTAAACATCCAACAAGATTAGTTCCACCAGTCTGGTACTTTTAATTACCATATTCCAAGTAGATAGAGCTTGGGCAAAGACCAAATGCTCTCAGATAAACCTTACCTAGACATATATTACATTCTTTGATCTGGTTGTATGTATAATTTGTCAGCAGGTTGTTGGCCTAATACGGTTCCCTCTGGTTTTCTAAAACTAGCTAGGCATTGTTTATCTCTCATGTTGTCTAACCCTTCCACCATGGTTTCCCCATTTAAGATGCTCCTGTTTTCTCCATTTCTCCCTTAATAACACCCTTCTCCTATGGTCCCACCTCTCTTGAACTCCTTTTTTCCCTTTATCCTCTAGGCTCCTTGTATAACCTTCCCTCCCCCTCCCCTTAAAATAACCCCATTATTGTCCATATCTCCCTTGTTAACACCTGTTTTCTACTGTTCTTCTCTTTCAGATTCTTTCTTTTCCTTTATTTCCCTGGTTCCTCTTTCTTATCCTGGTTCCTGTAGTTATGTCTGGATACATATTCACTTATCAGGGTTTGGTGCTAGGATCCACATATGAGGGAGAACATATGCCATTTTTTTTTTCTGAGTCTGTGTTACTTCACTTAGTATAACAGTTTCTAGTTCCATCCATTTACCTGCAAATTTCATGATTTCATCTTTCTTTACTGCTGAGTAAAATTCCATCGTATAAATGAACCACATTTTCATTATCTGCTCATCAGTTGAGGGACACTTAGGTTGCTTCCATCTCTTAGCTATTGTGAAAAGAGCAGCAACAAACATGGATGTACGTGTGTCTCTGCAATAGGCTGAGTTCTTTGGGTATATATGCTAAGGAGTGGTATAACTGGGTTAAATGGTAGGTTCATTTGTAGTTTTTTAAGAGTTCTCTACACTGCTTTCCATATGGGTTGAACAAGCTTGTAGTCCCACCAGCAGTGGATGAGTGTTCCCCTTTCCCCACATCCTCTCCAATATTTGGTATCATTTGTTCTCTTGATCTTAGTCAGTCTGACTGGGGTAAGATGAAATCTTAAAGTGGTTTTAATTTGCATTTCCCTAATTACTAGTGATGTTAAACACCTTTTAAGACGCTTCCTAGCCATCTTTATTTCTTCTTTTGAGAACTCCGTTCAGTTCCTTAGCCCATCTTTTAATTGGGTTACTTTCTTTCCTGATACTTTGTTTTTGTGTTCCTTATATATTCTGGATGTTAAGCCTCTGTCAGATGTGTCACTGGTGAATATTTTCTCCCATTCTGTGGGTTTTCTCTTCACTTCCTTGGTTGCTTCTATTGATGTACAGAAGCTTTTTAGTTTAATGAGGTTCCATTTGTTGATTCTTGACCTTGTTTCCTGAGCAACGATGTCTGGTTTAGAAAATCCTTTCCTACACCTGTATCTTGTAGGTTATTTCCTATGTTTTCTCTAACACTTTCAGGCTTCACATTGAGATCTTTGGTCCATTTGGAATTGACTTTTGTGCAGGGTGAAAGATAGGGGTTTAGTTCTATTCTTCTACAGGTGGAGATCCAGTTTTGCCAGCACCATTTGCTGAACATGCTCTTTGCTCCAGTGAATGTTCTTGGCTCTTTTGTCAAATACCAGGTGGCTGAAATTGAATGTACTCTTATTTGGGTCTTCAATTTTATTCCATTGATCTTTGGGTCTATTTTTGTGCCAGTATCATGTTGTTTTTATGACTATAGAAGAGGAGGCACTTTTTATTCTCATAAGAATTCATAGACTGAGCTTGTAGCTTGGTGGTAGAGTGCTTGCTTAGCACGAATGAGGCCCCAGTTTAAATCCCCACTACCAAGAAAACCCCTAACTTACGGATGAAGGCTTATCCACCTATTCTCCTTGTAACCATTCTCATAGAAAACTCTAGTTAATGATATGATCATTCCCCTCTTATTCTTTAGAATGCAAATCTCTAAGAGGAGATATCCTGTCTGTTCCATTCTAACACTACCACTTAGCAGTGTAAAACAAATTAGTAAAATCACTTATGTCAAACATCCTATTAGGGACCTAGATAGGGGTAATATTACTTGGGGCAGCTCCTCAACTGAAACTCTCTCAACTGAAGCTAAGGGTATCATCCAGAAACCTAGAGAAACCAATTCAGAAGTGTTGATGATGGAGTAATGACTATGAATTTTGAAGCCTATGAATTTAGGAAATATGAAAAATTATGAAGTGCTCTGTAGCAAGTGCAATTTTGGAGGGCTAAAGTGACCAGAGCTTGCTTGAGCAGAACATTTTTCTCAGATTCTCTTCTCAGCCTTTTGTATTTTTCTCTGTCTCTTGTGGGATTTTTTGGCATTTAAATTAGCTCTCAATGTGTACAGTACTTGGCATTGGCAGACCTGGGTGTGGAAAGGGTACCACTGAAGTAATGATTGCATTTGTGGTATAATAGTTCAGATGTTTTAACAGAATATGTCTTATGAGCTATGTACTATATGAGAAAATACTAGTGAATGAGGGCTTCATTAAGCTACATAAGGTAATGGAACCTAAATGCACAAAAGTTCAATAAAAATATTCATTTAAAAAACTTATTCTCTGGGGGCTGGAGAGATGGCCTAGTGGTTTAGAGCACTGGCTACTCTTGCAGGGACCCAGATTTGGTTCCTGGCATCAATATGCTAACTAACAACTGTCCACAACTCCAGCTTCAGGGATCTTCCACCCTCTTCTGTCCTCTGTGGATGTTGCACTACATGAGTGCAGAAAGAAACACTCATACACATAAAAAATAAACTATTTTCTTATAACTAAAGTTATTCCATTTTTTTTGTCTTTTTGTTGGTTGTTTTTTGAAAGGATCTCTCTAGTCACGGCCCACCTAGAAGTCACAATGTGAACCAGGGTGGCCTCGATCTCCACCTGCCTCTGCCTCCCAAGGGCTGGGATTAAAGGCTTATGCCACCACACCTGGCAAATCATTCCATTTTTTTATTGCAGAAAGTACCATCTAAGCAAAAAATAAGGACAATTTAAATCTTATAATTAATTCTGTCACTCATGGAACTTTTTTTTTTTTTTTTTTTTCAGACAGGGTCTCCAGGACCGGCTGGCCTGGAACTTCCAGTGTAGCAGTGTAGACCAGACTGGTCTCTACCTCACAGAGATCCACTTGTCTCTACCTTCTGAATGCTGGGATTAAAGGTGTGCACCAACACATCCAGTGGAATGTTTTCTAATAGCAATGGTTTTGCACATTTCAAAACCAGTTCCCTTTTAGCCAGGAAATACTCACAGCAGAGAGAAATGATTGACATGGCATGCAGCTTGTTTTCAGACCTGATGTACGGTCTCATACAGATGACAAAAAGGTTTCCAAAGCAGGTGATTGCAGATACAACCCAGACAAATACTCTCTGAATAATGCTTGCCAAGAGGTTCTCCAGAGATGAAATTCCGTCAGTGTTGGGCTTACAGCTGCGAACATGTGGTGCGTATCCACAGTACTGAAATTTCTTAAAATATCTATGCAGAAAGAGAAGATAAAATTCCATCATGAACTTAGCTTAGTGTCATCATACTCATCATACACTGATAATTGTTTTCAGCATTTTCTCGGTAGAAACTGTGTCCGTATAAGATTCAGTGTAATAGTAAGTACTCGCTATTCTTCCTAATGATTCTGAAATTTCAATTTTAATGCTCATCCTCTTGATGTCACAGTAAAAGAATGTGGGAGAACAGCAAGCAGACATATGGAATGTTTAAGTTTAGACATGTCTGAGAATATGAGTAAATGGCTAGCTTGTGAGCAAGAGCGGGAATTTATCCAAGACACTTTCAGTGGCTTTTTTCAGAGTTCAGTCCATATAAACTCATGGTTATGCAGCTCCCGTACACATAGTGTTGCTGTAACTATCTTACTGTTTAACTATCAAGGGGAAAATTCAGTGCTTCCTCCCTGATGCTTCCCTGGCTTCTCTGTTACAGAAATTATAACATAATTTCTGATAATAACATGGTTATTATTGATAACTACTTTAAGTTGATTTTGATTTATTTTGATGTTATGTGTATGAGTGTTTTGCCTGCATGTATGTAGTGCACCATGTGCATGCAGTGCCCATAGAACCAGGATTGGACATTGGATCCTTTGGAATTGGCATTTTGGACAGTTGTTAGCCAACATGTGGGCTCTAGGAGCCCTCTGCAAGAATAGTCAGTGCTCTTAACTGCTGAGCCATTTCTCTAGCCCCAGTGACTGCTTCTTAACATGCCTGTAGCTCACACTAGATTTTGAAACCTGACAAGGGATTAAATGAGCATTTGTTGAGTGAGTTATTTCATCAATAGAGAGACTTGCCTTCATAAAGACTTCACCTGAATAACTCAGAATTACTATTGTGTCATCAGCAAGAGGAGCACCATTTACTGGGTATTTTATAGGCATCAGGAATAAAGTCTCAAATGAACTTGTGAGATTAGCTTGAGTATTACCACATTGGAGAAAAATGTTCAATGGAGGAAAATTAGTTGCTAGGAAATTTTCTAGCATTTGTGAAGATCGGAATTTAGACTTCATCTGTCTGCCTTACAAGGCAGTGTGCTGTGGCAAAAAAAAAGAAAGACATAATCTTTATAGTATAAAAACTTATAGTAATTAATAATACAAACTTGATGGCTTATATTAGAATTTGTATTATAATTTGTCTTGACAAATGCAAGTTCAATGCTGATCTGTCCATCTGATTCATTTCAGTTCCTCTGTGAACTATGCTGGAGAGGTACTGAGAAAGGAGATCGTCTATTGCAGGGTCATTTTATTTTAAGTGCCTGAGGCTGAACGTTTGCTTTATCAACAGAATTTTGTCAGACCCTTTTCTAGTTTGGCTGCGTAACATGCAATCATGTAATAATAATTTCTTTGGAAGAAATTTCTTCTCCGCCCGTGGGAAGTCATGGTGGACCTTCAGTGGAGGTCTTCCCCTGGCTCAGGGTAGGCAAAGAAGTTAAATCAGACTTTCCTGGAACCCTGAGTCTTGTTGATGACACCTGGATGGGCTATTTCAGCAGGGCCTGAATAAGACCAGTGTTCAACTCTTGTTGCCATGGTTCCCGCTCAATTTAGGTCTCTTTTTTCAGTTATTCCTAGATTTTGTGAACTACACCAATTTCTTCCAATAAACTCATTTTTTCTTAGTAAGACTATTTTGTTGTGTGTAACTAAGGAATCGTACATAAGCATTCTCTCTTAAGAATTATGTAAGACAAAAAATATTGTCTTGTGTTACACTTGAAATGCAAGGATGGTTACTGAATTGACAGGATCTCTCACTGACCCTGGAGTGAGGCTAGTCAGTCAGCAAGCTCCAGCAATCCTCCCATCTCTGCCTAACTCTAGTGTTTTGGTTATAGACTCACAAGTTACACCCCCATTTTTTATATAGGTGCTGGTGATCTGAACTCAGTCCTCATACTTAGGTAGCAGATGCTTTCACCAACTGAGCTCCTGTCTTTCGCTCTCACTTTGCTGGGAATCAGTCAAACACAGAGCTTTGTCTGTACTAGCTCCAGGCCTTCTGGAGTCTTCTTTTTAAAGGCACTAATGCTATTCAAGTAGGCTCTTCTTCATGAGCTAATCACTTTCTCAAGGCTTCATCTCCTAATACCATCACCTTGGTGTTAACATTTCAACACGTGAGTTGGAAAGGGGGCACCAATGCCCAGCATTCAGCAGCAGGAAAATTAGTAGAAAATATTAATAGATTAGTTACATTTAGTAGTGGTATATTATCATAATACATGTGGGAACACAAAGATTAAAATCAAAGTGAACAAGAAAACATCTACTTACATGTGGGAGAGATTCATAAGAGGTTTAAACATCCTTTGTTGGATATTTGAGATTTCAATTCCTTCTAGGCTGCTAAAGATATCAAGTTAGTAGTCAAAAGAACATCATACTTGTCATAATAAAATGAGTTTTTCTGAAGGATAATTTAGCAAAGTGCATTTACTTAGCACTTATTCTAAGTCAAATACTCATGCTCAGTCTAACTATATACTCCCAGCTCCTCCTAGATTGTACTGTAGTGGCTATAGACATATGTTTCCAGTATTTGATTTTTCTGATCTTCACAGATCAGGACACAATGCCTAGTGCATGTTACCTAATTGTAATAATAAGTATTATTACAATATCAATCAATATTTGTAGAACAAAGTTAATAAACAGTAATTTTTAAGTGATAAACGTTTTTCTAATAAAGTGTCATTTTTTTCCTGATGGAATACTTAAATAAGATGAACTGAAATGTCCCTTTTAAAGGTAACTCTCATACACTAGCAGAATGTCTTTTATTGTGTGTGTGGTGTAATGATGTACGTAATCTAGAATATTGTGTCTTAAGATAAGGATGCCTACGATAAATCTTAATTACCCAGAACCGATGGAATATTGAATGCCCACAGATGCCTTCAGAGAGTGTGAACACATGATTCAATATAAGATCCTGGTGACTTATAGAAAGATGAAAAATGATTCATCATTGTTTAAATTTTAGTTTATTAACATAAGATAAACATAATGGTTATTTGTTTATAGCCCATCAAACACTCATATTTTTGTGGAGCTGGAAATAAAACGTGACTGGAAAATACAAGAACATGCTATTAGTATTGTAATAAACTACATATGTATATACTTACAGAGACTTGAGTTTGGCAAGACAATCAAATTGATTTTCTTGGATTTTCTGTATTGGGTTATAGGAAATATTCCTGTTTTTTTTTTTTAAAAAAAAGACAGCAATAAGTCATTGCTAAAAATTGCTTGAGTAAAGAGAGTATATTTGTTGACTTAGAATTAATTTGAAACTCCAAAAAAGCATAATACAACTCAAGGTGTACTTAAGATTTAAATGTAAAACCCAAAACTGTAAAATTACTAGGAAAAAAAAATACCTCTGAGGGAAACCTCCATGACATTGGTCTGGGCAATGATTTCTTTTGGTTGTAACCCCCAAAACACATATGGTAAAAGCAATAGACAAACAGGACTACATTAAACTAAAAAATCTGCACACCCATGGAAAACATCAACAGGGTGAAAAAAACAGCCTATATCATGAAGGAAATTATTTACAAGTCCCTCCTTCTTCCCATTCCTTCTTTTAGAATTCCTTTCTATGTTTTGTGCTAGGGATGCTATGCAAACATTCTACTACTGAGCTATATCCCTAGTCCTTGCAAACCTATCTGAGGATAGAGTCATATTCAAAATATAAGAAACTCAATGTCTTTTTACTAAAAGATGAATGATCTGATTAATAAGTAGGCAAAGGGCCTGATCAGACATTTCTTTTTTATTTTATTATTTTTAATTTTTTTATGTGTATGAGTGTATTGCCTGCATGTAGGTAAGTGGACCCGTGTTGTGCAATGCCCACAGAGGACAGAAGAGGCTGTCAGATCCCCTGGAACTGAAGTTATGGACAGTTGTTAGCTTCCATGTGGGTGCTGGGATTTGAACCTGGGTCTTCTGCAAGAACATTCAGTATTCTTAACCTCTGAACCATCTCTCCAAGGCCCCTATCAGACATTCTTAAAAGGAGACTCACAAGTGGCTAGCAGATAATACAGCATGCTCAGCATCACTAATAGCAGAGAAATGTAAAAAGTTTTTTTTTTGAGACAGAGAAGGTAAGGATGACCTTGAACTTCTGATCCTCCTGCCTCCACTTTTCTCATGAATGCTGAGATTGCAGGCCTGGTTTATGTGGTGCTGGGGATCAAACCCATGGCTTTGTCATGCTAGGCAAGGACTCTACCAACTGCACCGTATTCCCAGTTCCCAGTGCAAATTTAAACCACAAAGAGATATTGCATCACACCATCTAGGATGGTATTTATTAAAATGACAAATGACACTAAGTGTTTAAGAGACTGGCAGAGAAAAGCAATTGTTTTCCAGGGTTGGTGGGAATGTAAAATAACACAGATATATGGAAACATGGTGGTGTACTCTGGTAATCCCAACATGTTGGAGGCAGAGGAAGGAGAATCATGAGCTTCAGGGCAGACTGGGCTACAGAGTAAGAACCTGTCCCCCCCCCCCCAAAAAAAAAAGAGATGAAGAAAAAGAGAAAGAAGGATGGAGGGGGAAGAAAAGAAAGGAAGAGAGAAAGAAGGAAAGGAAGGAAATATTTCGGAGGGTCCTCACAAAATTAAAATAGAACTATCAGGTAATCCAGTATTTCTACTGAGTATATATCCAAGGGAATTGAAAGCCAGATGTTGAAGAGATATCTGCACTTCCATGCTCCTTGCATTGTTCACAATAGCCAAGATACGGCAACATCCTGCACACCTATCAATAGATGAACAGGAAAATAAAATGTGATGTACATACACAATGAAATATTACTCAGTCTTCAAGAAGAAAAATCCTGACATTTGGAACAACATGGATGAACTCAAAGGACATTATTCTAAGTGAAATAAGCCATGCACAAATACCACGTGCTCACACTAACATGCAATATAAAGAGTTAAACTCATACCAGAGAGAGAGAGGAGAGATAAATAGCACTTAGATGGTGTGAAAAATCAGAGGGAAATGTATTAGGTTAAAACCCTACTGAAAAATACACGTACAATATCTGAACCCGAGTGCATGTATATAGTTGAAGGCTATATAACCAAAAACACAGTGCCAGACAAGAGAAAACTCCCTTTGAGGTATTGGTCATGGTAGTCCAAGAGACTCCCAAAATAACACAGGATATTGCCACAGCCCTTGATTACCTCTTAGAGCTTGGTAAGACCTTATTGCACATACTTTGGACACAGGACTTGGAGCAATTGAACTGGAGCTGATTTGGAAGCCTCCTCCCTGAAGACTAGCTCCCATAGCATCAGAAGATATTATGCAAACTGCCAAGGGAGAAAATTGATCAATGATCCCATCCAGTTGTAAAGTCTATGAACCACAACAATGACTGGCCCAGCAAATAATCTCTCCTGGGGCAATAGCAGCACTTTTATCTTGGGGCTAATCAACAGCTGTCTAATTGGACTTAAGGCCCACTTGATGGGAGGGAACTCATGTGTGGTACTGTAAACATAGCCAAATACACATGACTGGAGAAGTCATAGATCCTAGAGAAAAACTTACTTTTGTCCCACCCCTAGACCAATGCAATTTTTACTGTATTCTAAATATGTATCCTTATATTTATAGACAAGTGTACCTCTCACCACTCATCAAAGAAGCTTCTTTTGGAACATATGAAGGCTATCACAAAGTTCCATAACTGGTCAAACACAAAGACTGTCTATGAGGTGCCCAGCCCTAAACGACACACTTACAATGCCACCTCTACACCTAAGGCTCTGGTAACATAGTGGAACAGGGTGTAGAAAGAATATTAATTCACCCACCAACTCTCACCAGTGAAGCTTCTTGATGCAACAGATGGTGATTAACTCAGAAAGCCACAACTGGATAAAGTGCAGAGGATAAGAGACTGCAGACTGCTTATCCCTGAATAGGACATCTGTATGAAACCTCTGCTATCTAAGGCTCAGGGACCATTGTGGAAGAGGGGGTGGAAAGATTGTAAGAGCCAGTGTGGTGGATGACCACAAGAAAACAGAGTTTTCCCGACAGCCTGCATAAGACCCATGGAAGCTCAAGCCACACCAAATCTCAGCTTAGAAGTGGGAAAGTGGGTAAGAAGCCCCAGTCTTAATTGAGAAACTATTGGCAACTGATAACTGCTGGAAGAGGGAGAGCTTGTTTTTCAAGTGTGTGACACCAGAGAAGTTAACCAGACTTCAGTGGATATACTCTGAGGAACATTTGAGGACACAAACTTGACTTGATAGGCCTTAATATTTATGACAGAGTACATGAAACCTGGTGGTGGTGGTGTGCTACAGGAGGGGTGTAGACAGGGGAAAGGGTCTAAATATGATCAAAATATATTGTATGAAATTTGCAAAAAATTCAATAAAAAGGTTGAAATCATAGAAACAAACAATAGAATATTAGCCAACAGCAGCTGAGGGCGGATATAGTCAGAAAGGGAGAATAAAGAGATGCTTGCTTAAGGAAGGGTACAAAGTTTTTTAGATGAGGTGGAACAAGTTCTAAGGGTTTACTCTACAATATGGGGACTACAGTTAAAACAACATACTGTATCCTGGAAAGTTGCTAAAAAGGCATATTTTACAGGTTCTCACCACAAAAATGTGAAGACTATGAGGTGATTTCTGGTAATTTCTCAGCTATGGGTAGGAACAAAAAGACAGATGTGAGTGAAAGTAGAGCTAAATTTAAAGGGAGAGAATTTCATAATTTCCCCCCTTTCCTACCATGGTTTCCACTTACCACCAAGAATATCTGTAAATCACCTTGAAACAGGTATCATGGACTAATGGGAGTTCCTCAGAGGAATTTCTCATTTTAAGAAATGTACTCAAGATTAGACCATTGTCATAGGGGTTGTGGGGAACTTCCTGGGATTGTAGTTATAGACAGGAGAAGATGAAGGATGATGAAAAATGTCTTGTGTAAAAGAGATATCTGTGTCTGGTGGTACAGGTCTGTAATTGTAGCTATTTGGGAGACTGAAATAGCTGAAGTAGGAGGATCATAAGTTCAGTGCTTGCTTGGACTACAGAGTGAGTTCAGTGCCAGCCCAGGCAATGCAATGAGAACCTGCATCAAAATAAAAAATAAAAAGAAAGCTGAGGATATCAGGTCATTGCTAGGGTGGCTGCATGGTATGCACGAGGCTGGTCCAATCCCCAGTACTGTAAATAAATAAGTAAATAAATTCATGAATAAATAAATAAGGAAACAGACTCACAAACTAGGAACAGAACAAAGTTATTCCATTTAACAAAGGTTATATAAAAATCATATAACTAATATAAGTGATGGTAAACAACCCCAAACTTTATCTCTAAGATCAGGAATAAGACAAAGATGGCAACTTTACTGTCTGTTCCATATGATACTAGAAGTTCTAGCCAGTGGAATTAGACAAGAAAAGGATATAAAAGGCACCGCATTGGAAAAGAAGGAGAAAATTAACTGTTCACAGATCTTATAATCCTTTATATAGAAAATGCCAAAGGTTTGAGAAAAAACATCATAAAAAAGTGTAAGAACTAATAGACTCAACGAAGTTTCCTGATACAAAACCAACATACAAGAATCATTTGTGGCTTAAGGATCCTTGCAGAAAGGGGTGGTGGTGGAATGATTGTAAGATCCATAAGAGGTGGATGACCACAAGGAAACAGAGTTTTTCAGACAGTTCGGAAGTTACTCATATAAAATCATAGCAATAGTGACAGCATAACAAGATCTCTGCAGGACAGAACAAAATCTCAGCATAGATATGGGAAGTAGGCAAGAAATCCAACCCTATGTGAGGAACTATTGGCAATTGATGGCTGCTGGGAAGGGGAGAGTCAATATCTTTTAAGGGTGAGACTCTTGGTAAGTTGACCAGGTTCCAGTGGATGGACCTGCATGAAATATATACATAGAGATGAATATATATTAGAATACAGAAATTTGGTGGGCAGTTAGAAACAGGGGGTGTAGATGTGGGGGGGATCTAAATATGACTATAATATTTTGTTTGTAATTTGCATAAATTCAATTAAAATATTAGTAAAAATAAATAGTTCCAGCACCTGGGAGCGGGAAAGACAGTGTCTTCCATGGATTGGACTCTTGGTGGGACCAATGGATGGACCCACAC